AAGGAGCGACCGGCACTTCCAAACCTCAACCCAGCATCCTCCCGCCTTTCGATCACCACGGGAGCCACAGCACAGCCTCCGCCATTTATGCTCCCAGGCACTTTCGTGCTGCATCATTCCGCTGAGTGGCAAATGAATGCAAGTATCAGAACGTGCCACAAAACCCAAGCTTCCGAGTTCAACGGCTCCCGAGTACGCCGGGCCCTGGGAGACTCCAGAGCAGAAGGATGGAGATGTCAGGGAAGAACAATCAGCTGTAAAATATGAAAAGCTTACAACATCAAAACCTACAGCAGCAGGCTCAAAAGTAATAATCCCATTACCACTACACTAAAGCACTAATTACTATTCCCAGTGGCAGGAGTGGACTGACTGCTAATGCTCCTCTTCTGGTTAATGAAGGAAGGCGAGGCAGAATATATTTCTCCTGTCTGACATCTGCTAAAATCTGGGCAGCCATAAAAACTAGGCATGTCGTGAAGCCATTCGTATTATGGGAAGTATCATTCCCAGGGCTGAGAAGAAACAGAAGTTAGATGATCGTGTACTGTGCCATGCAGAAGGCAGATGTTGTACCTCTCTCTTGTACCTTACCGATTACCCTTTTTTTTACATTTCATATGGAGTCTGGACCATAGGGTGGATTTGGGAGCAAGGCATTACCTCTCATACCATCCATCCCACTGCTAGGAGATGAACTGGCTAAGATTGGAATTCCATTGCTGGACACATACCGTAGACGCGCTCCCTTCGAGGAAGAAAGAGGAGGAAGAGACCTTTATTTTCACCAACTTTGAATAAGTGGAAGGATTTCTCTGACATCATCATCAAGGCCAAACCCAGAGGGACACAGCATCTGTGCAGATAAAGCTCCACCTGGACTGATTGCTCGTCAGGGCTTGAAGATGGTCTGGCTGGATGTTCGGTCTGAGTCCATATCCATCCTTGCAAATATCACCCCGCCACTGAAGCTTTTGGCACCTACATGATCACTGGTCACGCAGCAGCCTCCCTTTGTAAATATGTCCTCCCTAATAATGCCCATTCCAAAAAACCCTGCTGAAAACCAAACCGGCGGAAGCAATCGGTGGGCCCCGCGATGAACATCCTAAGGGATTCAGAATATCTCCCTTAGATTCTCAGCTTTCTTAGTGCAGAGGAGGGACAAGCTTGTAAAACGCATCCACATGGTTTTAAAAATTCTAGAATTCTAGAATTCTGAATAAAAATGCGGAATAAAAAATTCTAGAATTCGGAATAAAAATTCGGAATAAAAAATTCTAGAATTTTGAATAAAAATTCTGAATAAAAAATTCTAGAATTCTGAATTTAAAAAAAAAGAAGAAAGAAGTAACCTGGTTATCTGGCTGGTCTTCCCATTTCTCAGGAACACTATTTCCTTCTGCTGTCCCGAGTTTACAGAGGTAGCTCAGCAAGCTGATTAATCAGCCTACCCTTTTGCCAGGGAAACCTGGCAAAACAACTTCTCCTCCTGGCCCAGAAGCAAGACGGACATCAAAAGATACTGCAGGCAGAACGAGCTCCAGGGAGCGTGTTTTCCTACATGCCAATCCCTCTGTACACGGACACTGATAAGAGTTTGGAACACACCATCCTGGAGCCTTGAGCAATATAATGTTTGCAGATGCCGACAATCACTGATGTCTCTTGGCAAACACTAACAACCCCCCACACGCTCTGGGGGAGTATTTCACGCTCTGGATTGTTTGCCATTAAGCATGCAGAAGATGCCACTTCAGAGAACACGTGTCCAAGGACTTACACCCCTCGCCCCGCGAGATAACCAGGATACGCAGGTCTGCCGCATAACCCAGGAATGCTGGGGGCATGGGAAACAATGTAGGGGGCTTAGCAAGTAGTAGCTTTTAAAGAAGAATTTGAAAAGAAGAAGGGGATAAAATAAATGGCCTAAGGAGATGAAGACAAAGGAACCAATTAGCAGAGAGGATGCCGAGGAGTGCGAGGAGTGACGTTGCGGGCAGGAAAAGATGAAAGAAGAGATGTAGCCAGGGTGGAGACAGGCAGAGCCTCGAAGGGGAGGAGAAAAGTAAAGACCTGCAGATGGAAGCACTGTTTTCTGCTTCCAGGAAGTTCGGTTTCCAGGACTCATTCCCCCTTCACCGGAGCTCATCCTCCCGGTGTGATAAGCTATTTTACTGCGCCCAACAGCGGTTGCTACGCATCAAGGATTAGGGCTTCAGATGGGGCGGAAGCAGCTGGAGCAGCAACAAAAGGTTCGGTTTGCTTCCAATAAGCACACATGATAAAAGGGCGAAAGAGAAACACAGCAAACAGAACCAGCCGAATCCTTTTTGCGTTTCCTCAAGGCTTTCGGATGAGGCCTTTGCAGAGCTGGGGGGATTTATGGCAAAGCCATTGTGCACAGCACTCAAAGTGTAACATTAATGTAGAAGTCCAGCATCAGTACAAACAAAAATGAGTCTCTCTTCCGAATAAGAGATCAGCCCAGCCCATTGAGAACACCCTCCCTCACCCCATGAAAAAAGAGTTTTGAGGGGGGCTGGTGGTGGCTGATTTTGCTTCAGATTTTAATAACATCAGCATAAGTTAGTTTGTGCCAAAGGTTATGTTTACACTGCAAACCAGGAAGTATCACTACAGCAAGAGTAGAGAGATCCACGTTAGCTTTGATCCACCAGACCCACCCTCCCAGGCCTGGGGGTACATACTTGAGTGGCCAACACCCTGCCTCCCACAGCTTTACTGCTATTATTATTCAAGCTAGCTTTGATCTAGCAAAATCAAACCTAGCTCAGGTACGTCTATGGATGCTGCAACTCATACCTCGCACTTACAATGTGGACAGACCGGGAGATTCCTTTAGCTCTGTTTCCCCCTTCCAATGTAGTCATGACGCACAGACACAATTGACTGGTTTAGATCCAGGACTTGTATTTGCGTCATGGTTTGAATTCGGGGTTATGCCCAGATCCGTTGTGGGGGGGATTAGAAGTCTGGAACGTACGCTCGGTTTTTTGTCAGTGCGTCGAACCTTTCTCGGCCATTTACAGGAAAGTTACTTTGTAAATGGATTTCTTTTAATGAGTTTGACTTGTCAAGGTAATTTACATTTCCAATTCTGTCCTCCAAAGTGCTTGCAACTCCTCCCAGTTTAACATCATCTAAAAATGTCACAAACATACTCTCCAGACCATTATGTTGACTAGTGCTGGACCCAGGATTAATAATTGTGGGACTCACTTATCACATTCTCCCAGGCTGACAGCAAATCACTGGAAACTACAGGCAGTCCCCGGGTTACGTACAAGATAGGGACTGTAGGTTTGTTCTTAAGTTGAATTTGTATGTAAGTCGGAACTGGTACATATTGTAGGGGAAACTCTAGCCAAACATTTCTCCAGAGCTCAGTTTTATTCTCCCACACCTCACTTCCCTCAGTCCTTTATTCTCAAGCTGAGGTGTCTGCTGAGAAAAGCCGCTCCACGTCTCCCTGGTCTGCTGGGTGGGGCGCTAGCTTCGCGTCTCCCTGGTCTGCTAGGGGGAAAAGCAGCTAGTGCGGGGTTGCCTCACCCCGTTTGTAAGTAGGGATCCGATGTAAGTCGGATCCATGTAACCCGGGGACTGCCTGTATTCCACATAATGTCTTTTACCCATCTGTGCACCCATCTTATGGTAATTTCACACCTACAGAACATTTCACCTGCCGCAGCGAAGCCACCTCCCAGGGAGGCCGAGTGTAACCGACACCATTAACCGATAAGCATCCGCTTATTAGTAAAACAGTTAGTTGTTTACACCGCAACATCCTTAGTGCCCAGTCTGGTATGGTATGTGTGGGCACACTGAGAAAATGCAAGTCTGCTCCTAGAGTACATGCCTGTCTCATACATACAAACACTGCATGCAGCTTTATTATCTGAGCACAATACACATCCCGCTCTAGAAAACGGGCCCCTTTAAGCCTCTGGGCTCAATGCTGGTGTATCTGCCTCTAGCTAAGCACACGTTAAGCGTACACCTTCTGCAGAGAGCTGCATAGAGATTTTCCTCATAAATTACTGCTGCCAAAGGTGACTCCAAAGACCTCGGTGCCCTCAGTTGATTATGAATCCTGCCTTCCCAACATACATGCTCCATTTCATTAACTACAGATGGAGCCAGGATGAGGATACTTTTTAAAAAATGGCTCCTCTTGGCTGTCTCATTAAGGCCTAGTTTAAAAACCGTTTACTTTGCTCCCCCTGTTGTACCTCCCATCTGTCAACAGAGCGTGTTCCTGACCCCTGTAATTACTGGCCTTTCGTTTTAGTCTTTCAGCAAGCCAGTCCTGTGGGCAGACTATAAGGCAATCCGTGCGGAGAGCCTCCCAGGGAAAATAATCTATTGGGTTTTATGTAGAAGAGCTGAGTCAGTCGAGGCAGGGAGGGGAGCAGTAACAAATACCCTTGCCAATTCGAATGTCAGAGGAAACGAAGCTCCTAGATCAGGTCTGCGCTATAGCCGAAGGTCAGCGTCAGGTACTCAATTACAGTTTTGGTGCCATCCTCACAGCGGGAGGTCAATGGGAGAAATGGTCACAAGGAGTAGGCGTTCCGGCATCGACAGGGGCGCTCTCAGCATTCGATTCAGCAGGTCTTTACTAGACCCACTAAATTGAATGCCAGGAGATCGGCCACCACAGTGTCGATCTTCTCCACAGTCTAGACGTGGCCCCAGATCTGATCTTTGAGGTAACACCGAGAGCCTGCTCTTCCCCAGAAGTCACAGGAAACAGCATATGAGACTAGAGACAGTCCCCTGGTTGAAGTCTTAGAAGATTACTGTGAGGGCCTTTCTAGCTACGTAGTCTGGTTGTAGCTACAAGCATGTGCACCTTTGTGTAAAAACAGGCAACCAAAGATTTCCAAACATGGTCATCTCCTCTTTGCACAATGACAGATACACGCTCCTCTTGGGCAAACCCCAGAGAAGTCATTCAGGTGAGGGGAGGCATTTACCGTGACACGGAACGGCGTTGTAGCGGTGGGCTCCATGCTGGGATTTTTCTCCATGACCCCGCTGGGCATGCTGCGCCGCTGCCCGGCCCTCTCTGGGGGAGATTCTGCAAAGGACACAGACGAGAAAGGACAATTAATCACACATACCCAATGCAAGAGCAGCAAAAGGACAGAGGCAGGCCACCTCAGCTGCAACTTTAATTGAGATACGTTTGCAAATGAGCTGACTTAACGAGCCCATTCTAACCACACGCATTTCCCACCGCCACCAAAAGGCACGTTTAAACCGCAGGACTTTTCAGGAGAAACCTTCATTTCAGGAGATCAGTGTGTTTTCTCTACGTTCATTAAACTCCAGAATGGCCCTGGGAAGGAGCCAGCATCATTGTTCCCAGTTGCAGATGGGTACAACTGCCCGTCAGCGAAGAACAAACTGGACACAGATCAGCCCCTCCCGGGCACATGCGGCTCGCTCCTAAGGAAGGACGCAGGCCCTGCTGTTGGAGTTAATGCATGGAACTGAACATCAGGATTCCTGGGTTTTTTCCCCATTTCCTTCAATAACTGACCCTGTGACTGAACAAAAAGTGACTTAAGCCTCCTTAGGCCTTAGTCCCCTGATGAGTGAATGGGGACGGGGAACAACGAAGCTAAATTCACGAGCATGTTTAACGTGCCTGGAGCCTTGCAGAGGGAAGGCTGCACATTAGGGCACAGAGTTAGTGTTCCAATGTGGTTTTTCAGGTAAAGGCATGACCCACAAGCTGACACACAGTGCGATGCAAGAAGTGGCCGCGTGCGCCGAGTGCCACGGGACGGGGCTGAGTCCTTATCCTGGTTTCACACCTTTTCACCCAGGCTCTTCCTTTTGTGCACTAATTATAATCTGTAACCTGCAGATCACCTGGCGTTCTGACTGCCCTGCGTAGTGGAGCCTGGCAAGCTACTGTCTGACAGAACCCACGTCCGCTCCAGCGTACAGATCGAGAAACGGTTACACAAAGGGCATCTGCCTGAGACCATTCAGGTAGCCTGCAGAAAAGTTGCTAGAGCACAGAATCCAAGTCTTCCAACTCCACTGTCCCTGACAATGGACAACGTGGCCTCCCCTCCCTTCTGCTCATCTACGACAGGTGTCAGACCACTAGTAGGACAGAGCCTCCTCTTCCAACCTCGTCACTGCTCCGGCGGCCAGGAGACACCAGGGCGCTCCCCGGCTGCAGGCTACAGTCACCTCTCCAATCGCAGACGTGGCAATTGTCTAGCGCGCCTCAAACGAAGGTCCACTGGGCAGTGAATAGCACGAGGCAGCGGAGGCAAAACTGGAAACTCCGACGTCCTATTGTATTAGGACCTAGGATCTCCAGAGTTCTCGTTTAACTATGCCCTTTGGAGGCTTGAAACGTCAGCAAGCCCACCTGCTCCCTGTCTATGTTTTTTTGTGACAGAACCACTTAATGTCCTTCATGTGACTCTGCTAACCAGTATCATTGGCTGGAGAGACCTCCCTGCCCCGCTTCACTACTTTCGAAAGAGAAGAGGATCTCAACAAGCCATTGGGGTACTGAGCAAACCCAGGATCCAGGCAGACATGAGAAGATTTCAGAGTGCTACAGAAAACCAGCTCCCCCGTCCCCAAGACTAAAGAAACCAACCACAGTGCTTACTAAATATTTGCGACTACTGTTCAAATGCGGCGTTTCACAGGCAACGTATCTGCTCACCAATACGACACCATTGCTGAACCCTGGGGGGAATCGACAGGGAGCTTAAATACTTGCTGAAAAGGCAAATTACAGCATGTGCTGTCTTAGGGGGAGGGCGTTGCAAATTAGCATGCAAAGAAACGCAAAGCCGGGACAACCTATACTTTAGAATGTCTGAACAAATGTGCCTGGCGTACTGCATGTAACTTAGAGGTGCTTTGTTTGCCAATTCTCAGCCTTTGCCACACCTGTGATCTGCAATTTGCTGCAATCAGGGCTTGGCAAGTGTTCAGTCTTGGCAAGGATTCGCTCCTTGTTTTCACCATAGGCTGCCATCAGCTGGGATCCATGAGAAATGACTAACGGCCGCAACTCCAGAGGGGGCTCACTGGGCCGCTTATTAAACTACTGCAGGGAGACAGGCTGGGAGAGTCTCCTGAACTGGGTAAAATGCCGGCTCGGTGACATCTTCATTGGTGGGACAGCCCAGCTGGAGCACCGGAGCTTTGGCCAAGCAGCCTGTGCCTCCAGCCAAAAGCCCAGAAGCAGCTAATTTGTTGCTCTCAGAACCTGTAGCCAGGGCTGCCAATTAACGAGCTGCCTTCTTTGCAGAAAGCTGCCTCCTGCTTCTCAAGGAAGCAATCGAGTTCTGCGGCGTTATCCCCTTTCACACGACAGCTCTCACGCGACTCCTTTGATCGGACTCCTTTTTGGGATTGTCACAAAAGCCACTCGAGTATAATGGTTTCCAAAGTGGGTTCAAGCCGACATGGAAACAAAGAGGCTGCTTTGCATTTTTAATGAACAGAACTAGAAACAGGCAGATTAACAATTCCTATCATGTACAGGGCCGGAGAACAAGAGTAGAGGGACTAAATTAAAAACAGCTCAAGAAATCACACCCCCCCCCACGCACACACTTCTTTGGGGGTGCTACTCCCAGAGGCTACAGCTCAAAAGGATAGCACCAGCTGCTCTGTGGAAGGCAATGTCCACACTGGGTAGGTGTTGGCGACAAAAGTGTTGTCGACGTGCAAAAGTCATCAAAAGTGAAAATTGGTCAAACCAGTTTTTCTGCCTCCCACTCTCGATATTTCATGGCCACGTGGCTAGCACCCTGTCGAGAGACAGAGCAAAGTCACGTGGATGAGCATCCCACAGTGCAGTGTTGGGGGAAGGCAGAACCGATCCCTGCACTTCTTGGATTCCCTCGTAGCTCTGTGAGCTCTGGGTGCTGAGGACTGTCAAAGCAACACAGCCATCTCTCCAGCCCTCCCCCTGCAGCACCTGTCTGCCATCCACTGTGTTCCTAGCAGGGCCTATTAGGAGCATGCCAATAATTTGCTCTTTTTGTTTGTTCCTGGGAGCAGCTCGCTCATCTGTCAGATACTTCCTGGAGTTTTCAAAGTGGAGGGGGTGCATGCCTGCAAGGCAGCAGAGATCACAAAACAATGAGCACAGCCATCAGGGCAGATGTGTGATACTGGCAGAAGCCAGTTCTCTTAATAGTTCTCTCCACACTGGCTTTTTGTCAACAATAAAGGGAGGGGAAAAGACAAAAGTAACTCTCAGGCCTGGAAGTTTTTTGTTGCCAAAACTGGGTGGGCCAAGGAGATTACATTTAGCTCTGGGGAAAGATGCAACAAGGATTCAGGAGTAAGGCTTAAAGCCCACTCAGGACTAGATTTTGAACCAGATTTGTTTGCACCAAAGTCTCATGAGCTGTTCTCACAAAATCTACCTCCAGATTTCAGCCGAAACTAGAACACAAACCACTTCCAGCTTCTAATCTGAGTCGGGAACCAAAACATACAGATGGGTTTGGCAGCTCCTATTTCAAAGGGATTTGTAGCCAAGTTTCTAGTTTTGACTCGTTCTACACACTGTTTGTAAGGGCTGGGATCTCAGAGAAGAGGCTAAATAGAGCAACAGGGATGGAGGGAGGGAGAGAGGGAGGGAATTTTGCTGAGCAGAGACAATTGTGCCCAGACAAATGAGGATCTTTTCACTGTCACAAGAGCATGGCAAACCCATTGTGCTTAGTGGAGAGGAGCCTTGCAAATCCATGGGTATCCGCTTTACACCCATGGGTATCTGCATCTGTGGATCACTTTTGTGGATACAGATGTGAACACAAATGTTGTATCTAGAACCCCGCAAATTTGCAGATATCCGCATTATATCCACAAGTATCTGCAGCCACAGATGTAGATACCCACGAATCAATTTTGCAGATGCGGATATGAACTTTGTATCCATGCCAGGCTATAGGGATTTGCCCCTTTCCCATCCCCTATGCTAGCCCAAGGGCTACTGATCAGGAAAGGAGTGGTGTTTCTTACACACACACACAGCATGGTGTTTGACAGGGCCAGTGCATCTTCTACTATATATTTGAGAGTTTGTCGTTCTGTCTGTCTATCTGTCCGTCTGTTCAGGAACTCCTCTTAAATGGTAAGAGGTACGGCCACCAAATTTAGCATTCAGTAGGGATGTAAAATCCTGTTTAATCAGTTAGGGTATGTCTACACTACCACCCTAGTTTGAATTAGGGTGGTAATGTAGGCAACCAGAGTTGCAAATGAAGCCCGGGATTTGAATTTCAATTGCATTGATCTGACTAGTCATGTAGTGAATACTGTACAATTTGTATCGACTGTACTACTCAATAAGGACCACTCTGCAGAGCCACAGCAGTGGTAGCTCCAGGACCTGTGCTGTGGCTCTGCATTTTTAAATGTAGTAAGAGCCTGGTGGTTCTTACTACATTTAAAATGCAGAGGCGCAGCATATCCCAGACCAGGGTGAGTTGGGAGTGCTTGATCCCAGCTCACGCTGAGTCCAGCAGGCCCTGCCCGCGGCAGCCAGCCCTGTCAGCCGTGAACAGAGGCTGCTCCGGCACCAGCCTGTTCGTGGTGGCCAGGGCTGGCCATGGCCAGAGGCTGCTGCCAGAACATCCCCTGCATGTGGCCAGCCTGGGCTGCTGTGAACAGGGGCTGCTTGGCCTGGCCGTGGGGGGGCCCATATCCCTGCTTGGACCCCTGTGTACAGGGGCTGCTGCAGGAGCAGCCCCTGCCTACAGCGAGCCTCCAGCACCGGCTCCTGTTCCCCCCCATTTGCTGCCTCTCACCGAAGCAGGCAAGGGGGGGGGGGG